GTAGCAAAAGGGCTCCCAGAGAAGTTTGCTTTTTGTCTAATGTGCTCTCTTCCTTTCTGAGGAGCCTGCCTGGCCTAAGGATGGGAAAGAGAAGGAAAGGCAGGGAAAGGCCATCCTGCATGGCTTGTCACTCACTTCTCAAACCTCACTCCACAACCACACAATATCCAGGTCTGAAGGGGCTTCAACTCCATCTTTCCAATAAGGAAGGGGAGCACAGGGAGGTTAGGTCACTTACACAGCTAGTTAGAGAAAACCAAGTCAGACATAGATACTTCAGTTCTATAGATGAGGCCCCTACACCCTCTGAACTAAAGAATGCCCTGTAGAAGTGTGGGGATGACACGGTGGGAAGCTGCAGCTAAAGAGATCAAGCTCAGCAAGTGGTTCTCATAGGGCAGGGAGCATGGTTAGGGTGGGGGATACAGTTAGAGTTAGGGTTAAGGATACGGTTAGGGTTAGGGTTAGGGTTAGGGTTAGGGTTAGGGTTAGGGTTAGGGTTAGGGCTAGGGCTAGGGCTAGGGATACATTTAGGGTTAGGGTGAGGGTCAGGGATATGTTTAGGATTAGGGTTAGCATTAGATCAAGAATGATGTATGCTTAGGGCTTTGGTCCACAAAACTGTTGTGTACCTTTAAGAGTCTGGGAATCTTACCCTCACTTTTCTGATGGGGAAACTGAAACTCAGTATGTTCTCAGTGTCTTAAAAACACCCATGTACTCCTCTTCATAGAGCTCTCCTACTGGAGTCCCATGCACTGGGATCAGCATACCTCTCAGAAAGTGTGGAGCTGTAGTTTTGCTGATTGTGAGTCTGAACCTGTTTTAACAGAATATATTGATATCTTCAAAGAGCTTCCTCTGGAACTAGTTGAAAATGCTATTGGGAGAAAAGCCATGGCTGCGGTGGCTAGGGCTTCAAAAAACAAAAGAATTTAGGTTGAGGTTCTAGCAACAGAAATCCTATGTCTGTAGCACCCTTGGGTTGCTCAAGGGGCAGGAAAATCTGTCTGGAAGGCCTGCTCTAGAGTGTGGAGAGCAAGGACACTGGGTTTGGATGATCATCTGTGCAGACAGAAGCTAGTCTGTGAGGAGGGATGTGGAGGCACTGCTTGCCTGCATCAGGTGAAGATTCACAGGACTCTTGCTCATCCAGATACTGGGCTGGGCCCTTCGCTGGGCAATGCCGAAAGCTTAGAGCCTCCACTTAAGGGGCTCACATCCTATGAAGATGAAGGATGATGTGGTGTGTGGATGCTGTGTTGGAGGCTCTACTGGCCAGGCACAGAGACAAAGAGAAAGGAGTTTGCTATCTGCCACAAGACTTGGGAGGAGGCTACATGGAAAATAATGTTGGCCCTAATATGTACAAGATGGGGAGACACTCTGAAGGTGAAGACACAGGTTGGGTGACGGGTCTACATTCCAAAGGTAGAGAAGTGGGTAGGTTCTTTCTCATAGCCCTCAGAAGGAACTATGGACACCTTGATCTTGGATTCCCAGCCTCAGAAACCATGAGACAACACATGGTAAGCCACCAGTCTAGCAGAGCTAGGAAAAAGATTCACCAGAGCCCTAGGAAACAGACACACCAGGGGATGCTGATTGATTCTATAGTAGGCAGGAGGTCTAAGTGGGTTTTGGCAAAGCAACACTGAATGACTTTTGCAACCCCTCCCTCTAGTGCATTTGGCCATTTCCTGTTGGCTTGCACCTGAAGTTGGAGCCACTTCTGCCATTTTTATCACCAGGGAGAGGAGCCTTTCAGAGAATGAAGGCCACAGAGAAGAAGCATTGCTGAGAGATGAGGAGGGAAACTGGAAACTGACCCTAGTGGTCACATAACTGTGCTGAGCCATGCCCAGAGCTGTCTTTACCTCTAGACTATTAAGTTGCATAAACCAACAAATTCACTTTGAGCTGAAGCCAGTGTAAGTTTTCTTTACCTTGTGACAGAAAATGTTTTGACTAATACAGTTTAATTTAAAAAATAAAGTTAATAAATGAGACGTCTTCATAGGAAAAATTTTGTGAATGATGAAAAAAAGAAAAAATAAATATCATAGACGCTTCAGAAACCTTGGGAGCTGTAACAAGGAATGTACCCTGCTGCACATTCTCTTTTCCTTATCTCTATTTGTTTGTGTTTGGAGGGAGGAGAGTTTATTCATGTGACAGCAACATCATTGCACAGTGATGTTAGGCCAACGTGACATGCCTGGCCAACATGGCAACTACTCCCTCTAAATCACATCCATAGATTCTGAATCAAGAAACTTTAGCTCAAAAAATCCCTAGGAAAGGTTTTGATTGGCCCTTCCTAGAGTGCCCCAGTGGCTTACAAGGCCTGGTCTAAAGGTTCCTTAAGAGTCCATTCTGGGTCTGACATGTTGTGACATGCATTGTAGAGAGCAAAACCTCTATGATATGCTGGATGGTGTCTAGAAATAAAAGTTCTGTGGTCAAATAGATGTGCATAACCTTGGATTAACCAGTTAGGTGGATTTTCCACAGGATTTTTCCGAACCTCTAATATGTTGATGCAGGTGGAGATTCCAGGGGGTAGGAGATATGTGAGCAAAATTTGCAAATGTTGTCTGGTGATAAAATCTCTACCCCAGTGTATCTAAAGGGTTGGCACTCCTCAGAACATAATAGGAATCAGAGCCGAATTTCCTCTGAGTCTGGAAAGTGTACTGTACCTAGGTAACGAGAGTAGGAACCCATGCACTCAGCATGGAGGAAGATCTCAGAATCCAATTGCTCTCTGGTCTGTATGGTGCATGACTATGCTTTTAGTCTTCCTACTTGACTCTCTCAGTCCCAAATTTGCCCTCATTTGGTTGTCTTTCTGTCTTAGTCCTTGTTGTGGTCTCTGGTAAGAACCCAGAGACCAAAGTTCTAGTCTCAACCTTGTCTTTCAAAAGCTGTGCAGTCCTATGAAACCAGCTTCAAGATAGGAACTCTGAATTGTGAATGCCTCACACAACTGCTTCCTCTGCATGGACTGCTGGGTGCCCAGTGGAGATCCTTGGGCTTTATGGTCCCGGTAGGCCCTGAGGGCCACTGGACTAAAATCCCTCTCCATCCCTGGACACTCAGAGTGCTCTACATGGCCAGGTGATGCTGGCTAAATAAAAACAATGTCCAACAGCTAGAAAGCATCCCAGTTGCTACAAAGTCATCCACTGTGCCTCCTTGTACTCCAGCCTTGTTAGTGCCATGCTGTTCCTGATCTATAGCACTGCTGCTGCCCAGGTACCAGGATGCAGACGTGTCAAAGATACAGAAAAGGGAATTAGAAGATTCCAAAGCTCAGAGGGAGCTCCAGGGACCATCTTGCTCAGCATCTATCTTGCTTTTATTTATTTTACACATAAAGTTAGCAAGATCCAGATAGGGGAAGTGATTTCCTAAAGCCGCACCACAAATATGTGGCAGTGTGAAAACTTGTGTTAGTGTTCAAGGAAGAGTTAAATGAATGTTCCTAAAATGTTTATAGTATGCATTGGTCTTTTGGGATGGTCAGATTTGTGTCAGAAACACTGTGTCTAATATTTCTTGCTTGGAGAATGCACTGTGCATTAGAAAGGAGAGGTTCTGAAAAGTTCCTTTGCACTTGGTTTAACCCAGTGTTCCCTGCATTTATCTGATCAGGAAACCAGGCTTCTCTTTTTGCAAAGACCTCATTTTTAAGAAACAGCTCCTCAGGTTTCAAGTTCATCTGCATAGCTGTGGAGAGGAATAATAGGACAAGCATGGCAAGAGGGAGGCTCTGAGGGTCAATGGCAGGAAAATCAACACAAGGGAAGGTGGGCCCTGATGGTCCCTTGATCAATGGCTCTGTCTGCAGAATGGTGAGTGGGGGGTACAAGGTTAGAGGGTGTATCTTCAGGTCAGAGGTTGATATGAAATGCAGTGGGTTGGGTGTGTCCATAGAGACTGGCCACATATGACTATATGACAATGACTTCAAGGGATAAGAAAGGAGTATTATCCAGACCCAGTACCCTACAGATCCAGGTTGGAGTACACAGAAACCAGACCTGATTCCTGAGTAATGGAGCGGGAAAGGGGAGTGGGGGGAAGGGCAAAGTCAGGTAAGATGTCATTCCAGAGAGGCAATGGAGCATTAGGTGGGTGCTGTTTTTCGACTGAACACAGAGCCATTAGATGTCTGCCTCTCCAGAGACGTCCGGGGGTACCTAGGCATTTGACATAGTACTCTGAACGAGTTACCTGCTGAGCAGGAATAAAGATGGTTTCCGGTTCAGGCAGAGGGCATGGACAATTATGTGGCCCTTCAGTGTTTCCAGGGGAGGGCAGATCACTGCAGACGGGTTTCCAAATACTCAATGTCAGTAGCCTAGAGCTATCTGAGACTTGGCTTATTGCAGGATGGGAACTCAGAGATCCAAATTATAACCCCGACCATGCTTCTAAATGCCATTGTGAATGGGGGTCCAAGGGCTCAAATCTTTAAATTGGGTTGACCTTAATTACTTCTGTTTCCTTCCGGGACTTTTCAATTTTCTGGTCATACAAGCGGAGTAACCCAATTGACTTTCTGTTTGTAGGTTCCACACATTCCTTTTCCTTGTTATTTTGTAGATCTAAAGTGAGTCTCTCACTCTGGAATTGTAAAAGTGGGAAATTACAGTGCTGTTATGTACTCACTTTATAACCCAAGGAAGGCACATTTACGAAATACAGCTTTCCTGAGGAAGCCAAACCAACAAAACCTTGTAAGTCAGCTGGCTCTGGTTTGAGCTCAGCAAGTCATGATCCCTCCACCCCCTACATTAGTTTCCTGTGAGCAGCCTCACAAAGCAATCAGAAGGGGCACGGAAGATGATAGAAATAGAAGTGGTTATAAAGTGTGGACCGCACCATTCGTGTGGTGTGTTTGGGAGGGCATTGAAGTTGAGAAAATGATGATGCTAATGATGCTAGAATTGCTGTTTTTAAAATTAATGAATTAATGATGAGTAACAAGTATGGTCATTCAGGCAAAACTTTACTTCCTTTGTTTAATACCTGGCTGGGAATCTGCTGCAGAGAATTGAAGCCATGGGGCCCACCTCCTTCGTAGAGGGGCCAGCTTATCCTGATCCCAGAGCTACCTCAATCTGCAGGCAGTAGTGAGTGAATACATCATGGTTGCTCCTGGGAGACAGGGATCCCCAGGAATATTAGCCAAGATCATTTTCCTGAAGCAAAACAGACAAATGTGTTGATAGAAGACAGAGTCCCGGGGACCAGTTTTCTCTAGATCTTGAGTGTTCTGTTTCTGGCCTGCAATGCCTCTATATCCTGCCACTGCTGCCTTCTCCTCTCTCCTTCTCCTTCATCAGAACCTGAGAGGTCAGTGAGTGGCTAGGTTAGGAGACAGAGACCAGAAGGCATTTCAGAAATGGCACTGGGCACTAACAGCATTCTCATCTCAGCTCTGCAGCCAAAGAACTGTATGTATGATCTTGAAAAAGTCCCTGTCTGAGCTACAGTTTCCTTACCTGTAAAATGCAGTGCTCATCTCTAAAGACGCTATCAACTCCACATTCCAAAACGAGAACAGGAGATGAGCAGAGAACTCTGGACTTAACTGCACTGATCTCCAGGTTCAGAGCTTGGGATAAGCCAGTAACACTCCCCACAGCCCTCGCTGGAACGCCATCAGAAGAAACAGGACAGGGGCAGTTGAGGAAATGCCCATGGAGCTAGAGAGGGGGTATTTAAGCCTTCCAAGTGGCAGATCTTAAGATCTGTCTCAAGATAACCCCCTAGGGGCTGGAAAACCAGGGAAAATGATAGTGGCAGGAGCTTAGACTGACTGGGAAGCCTTGCTCCCTATGATACTCACAACTGCTTCTAGACACTTGTCACCCTTCCTACTTTCCTGGGCTCATTTGTCTGCATTTTAGCTTGGTGTAAACAGTTTCAACTACCTGTCAGATGGCCACCCTTTTTTACTCGGATACTCTATTATGGGTCTCTTGAACTGTATTAGTACTTTATTTTTTTTTTTTAATTTTGCTGCTCTTCACACTCTTAGCGATCGCTCCTTTCAGCAGCCAGCTCCTCAGCCACTCCCCCTGGATGTGTCCTTATCATTACTGCAAATCAGCTTTCCCTATCCTGTCTCTGTGATGGATTCCTGGGCTCACTATGTAGAACTTGACATTTATCTCTGCTAAATTTCATCTTGTTGGTTCAGGTCCATTGTTCCTAGCTGTCAAGAGAGTTTGATTGTGCTGTGATGTGTTAGCCTTCTCTTCCAGTTTTGTGTGGGGACTTGGGGACAGAGGGTGGAGGTGGCTGTGTCAGAAATGGAGTGGTAGGCTGCTGCTGTGAGGAGAGGAGCTCAGAGGAGAAGGTGCAGGCAGCAGGATGCTGGTTGTGTGTGTGTGTGGCTTAGCAAATAGACCCAGCTGAGGGCTGATGAGACTTCTCAGTAGAGGAGGCTTCGTATGAATAGGCAAGGTGATAGATGCAACGCTGTGCAGTATGGTAGACAGGCTGGGCCAGCAGGATCCCTTGATGTCATACCAGAGTGTAATATCAGAGGGTGGAGCCTCAATCAATGGGTGAGACTCAATCAGTGACTGAGAGGGAGGTAAAAGGCTTGCTCTGGGGAGGAGAAGGAACGCTGCTTAGAATTCTGAGGCATTAATTTAAACACTTCTCTTTCTCTTTTCCCTCTCAGTAGACCAGCCACGAAACCTGCTTATTCCATCCCCAATCCTGAAGTCAGTCTCCTTTCTGAGCCTTTGCTTTTTTTCCTCTAGTTTAAACATTACTGTTTGTTGCGAGGTCTATAGGCTGCCCTGCGATCTCCCTGCATACTCAACCTATCTCCATACGATGCCATGGGATATTATACATCTAACGATCATTTCCTACTTCAAACCTCTAATGGTTCCCATCACGGTCAGTGTGACGTACAATTCCGCAGCATACTACAAAGAAGCCCAGGGATGTGGCTCCTGCTTCTTCTTCTGATTCAACTTAAACTCTATCCATCATGAATGAATTGCAGATTCTAAATCTGGCCAGCCCTCCACTTTCCAGCTCTCTGGATCGCTCTGCATGGATCACACACTACCATTCTCTTCCTCACCTATGAACTCTTGTGAACTTAATGCGTACTAACCCGGGCCATTTCCTAAGAGAAACATTCACAGAGAGCAAAACCCAAACCCTGTGCTGCTCCCGCACTGGGGCCAGCAGCTCTGTGAACTCTGACTCTTACTCTGGACCTTGCATTTTCCTAGGTGGTTTATTTGTCTATTCCCTATCCAGCCTGCAAACTTCTTGAAAAGAGGATGGTTTTTCACTCATCTTTGCACGTAATATGTGGTCTACATTGAAAATGAATACTAAGGTTTCCAGCTATGAGGTCTGTGGTGGTTCTTACAGCATCTTAGATCTCAGATCTATAATCTGACGATATAGCTGAGGGCAGACAAAGAACTCAAATTATTAGGGTATAGGAGAGAGAGATAGATAGAGAGACAGACAGACTGAGCCTAGATCACTGACATCAGCCAATAAATATGAATTTCCTCCATCCATACTAATTGTACATGTGTATGTGTACCTGTAGGCTTTCTGTATGTGTGTGTGTGTGTGTGTGTGTGTGTGTGTGTGTGTGTGTGTTTGTGACTGTACACAAAACTATCTTGGAACATTATGGAAAAAATCAGGCTTTGGAGCCAATGAGCCAGGGTTTAATGTTTCCTATCACTTAGTATGCGCCTTTTTAAGGAATCATTGATCTCTGTGAACATTAATTTTCTTACATACTTTATAAAAGGGGAATACTGATGCCTGTCTCTGAGACAATGTAAATTTTTTAAAAAAGCAAACCTCACCCAGTTCCTGGCAGTGGCAGTGAAAACTGCGCACTTGGTCGTCTTGCTGGTTTTGCTGAAGAGGTGTGTACTCGCCACACCCACGAAGCAGAACACCCCTTTTCCTCTAGGGAGTTCAACTGGCATCACAAAGAGCCTTTGTGAGTTCAGTCAAAGTCCCAGACAATGCCATAATGGCCAGACTATACAGGACTCATCCGGTTTTCCTCCCTGGGACTGAGAGCCAATCTCCAGGAATACCTGACTTTGTTTGAGTCTCTCAACATCATCTGCTCCACTTCTTCCCTAACTGCAGTGCTGACAGTTCCTAAAACTGGTCATCCTCTCAACACTGCTCATGAAATGCAAGTAGAGCCTCCAGGTTTTCTATTTATCACCCATTAGTTGTTTGGTAAACTCATGCCTTCCTCCCAGAGGCGCTCACTCACAAAATCCTGAACTGAGATAAAGGGGCAGCCCCGTCTAGCCTTATTGGAAGTGCACCATAAATCACCCCTCTGGAGTTTGCCTTCTGGGGAAGTCACTGATCTCATCTCCATGTTTTGAGGCTCTAAGGCTGATACTTTCTGGCTTCCTTCTCAGATTCCCAGGCTCATTCCTTTTGGAGTCTGTATTCTCCAAGGTTGGGAAGGATCAGAAAAGTTTTTATGTAAAGGGCCATATAGAAAATATTTTATGTATCCTATTTTTTCTCTTTTTTTTTTTTACATAGCCCTTTAAAAATGTAAAAATTATTTTTGATTTAGAATTGAACAAAAACAGGTGATGGTCTGGGTTTGGCCCCAAATTCAAGGGCCATAGTTTGCTGACCTGATTCTCAATGCTCACTGAGTGAAAACACTTGCAAAGCTAATTCCCTCTTTTCTTTCCTTCCTTCCTCATTTCTTTTTATTTACATTAGCCTTTCCTGCCCTTCAGCTTCTGCTTCTTCCTCCTCCCTGTCCTCTCCTGCTCTACTTTCCTCCCTTTCTCCTTCCCTAGCTCCATTTCTTTTTCCCTCCTACAACATTTTCAGAGCATTGACTTGGTTTGGGGTGTTCAGAGTAGTCCAGGCATAGAAAGAGGAGGAAAGCAAAAGGCAAAGAGACTCAAACTCCTTTTCTCTAGGAACTTCCGGAACTGGAGGACTTGCCTGCCTGGAGTTCACCCAGTGGGGCTTTCCAAGCCAAAGAAACACTGAATCAAAGGGCTGAAGGCAAGAAAGAGGGAAGCGTTTGAGAGGAAAAGCTCATGGGGAATCAGGTAAGACGCGTCTCCGGGCAGGATGATAGGCAGGAAAGAGCTATGTATCCTCTTACCAAAGCTGCTTTAGGCCTCAACTCTTTCTCATCAGTTGGACTCTTTGGGCCTATCCTTTAAGCTCGCTAAGTTTCCTTTTTTATGGCTTGTCAGGTTAGAGACCGTAGGACCCCTCTTTTGGGAATTTTGAGAGGAGTCTGTGAGTGAATGCACGCAAAATGCTGAGCCAGGGTTTGGTGCAGACTAAGTAAGTCCTCAGTAAATAGCCTCTGTTCCCATCAAGAGAGGGAGGGTATGCCCAGATAGGGTAGTGGAGGGTGCTGGCGCCTGGTCTCATTTGCCTAGAACTTTGGACTCTATTTTGTAGGTCATGTGGACCCTCTACAGAATTTGCACCATGGGATCAGGTTGTATTAGATTTTAATTCCCCTCCTGATGATGGAGATTGGCAAAATCTAGGGGGCACATTTCTTGATTTCCACTTCACAGATGAGCTGATTGAGGCTTACAGAAGGTGGAGAACCTCTTTCTTCCTCAAAGTCAGTGGGATCCTAAGCAGCAGACCACTTCTGGTCTCCTGGACTCCAAATTCCATACTTTCCTCTCCCACAGTGCTTGCTAACCACCTGACAGACGGCATTGTGCCAACCCTGCCTGGCTTCAATTAGTAGACAAATCAGGGCTGGTTGGCAGGCTCCGGGCCCACTGCAGACGTGTTTATCATTCATCAGAGAAGAGGAGCTCTGCGCCAGGCATGCAAGTCTGGCCCCATGGGGAGAAGATTTAAGGTGATGCGGCCTAGGGGGTTGGTTCTGGGGACCATAATATGGATCATCTAATATGCTCAGGAGCAGAATATTTCAACAAATCACTGAAAGCTGAATTTTGCCCTCATCCAGAGCATCCTTTGAGTGCTACAGGAGGTGAGGAAAATGAGGGCAGACTGGAAGACTGGGTTCTGCCCAGCTTTGCTATTGCATGGGGAAAATGTCTCTGGTTTCTATTTCTGGGTTTCAGTCTCCTTCTGTGTAAAATGAGGAGTTTGGGAAAATTTAGCGAAATAGTAGGTATTCTTGTACTGAGCTTTGGAACAATTCCGATCCTTTCTCTTTAAACAGCTCTCCAGAGGGAGGTAGCAGCAATAGTGTAGTAAAGAGAGTAGTGGATAAGAAGTCTGAGTCTGGACTTTGCCCATAACTTGCTGTGTGACTTTAAATTTTCTAGCCCTGTCTCTGAACGCAAGTTTTTCCACGTAGGTTGAGCAGTAGCTTAGATCCTTCACTGATGATCTGTGGACTGGATCAGATGTATGGATGAAATTAGTTCCTGGGCAGATTTACCTAATTATCACTTCTGTTTGGTGGGCAACTTTTAGAAATTGAGACATTTCTCATGCATCAATTTGATTGGTTTAGATCCATCTAGTGAATTAGTAAAGTAAACTTCTGGGTGTGTCTGGGTGAGTCAAGAAGATGGGACCTTGGGGACTTCCGTAGATATGATCCCTGACCCATTCCTCTCTGCTTTGCTTCTGGGCCACCAGCAACTGAGCGGCTTTGTGTTTCTTCCACAGTGCTCTACTGTGATGTTCCTGCCTCAGAGTCAACTGACCAAGCATCGACTGAATCTTTTGAAATCAGAAGCAAAATTAAACCTCCCCTCCTTTAAATTGTGGGTGTCAGGTGTTGTGTCTGGATTCCTATGTTCTTTTGAAGAAGCAGCAGTAGAACCCATCACTCTAGAAGCATGTGCTGGAACCAGACAGTGACTGGCCCCTTCACACAGGATGGATGGCCTCTGTCCATCCCCACAATTTGTCCATCCCATGGGCTTACGAGTGTCGCCTGTTTCTGGAAGCATCTGAGGGTGCTGTCCTTTGCTAACCCATGTTCTCTGTATACAGGGGTGCACACAATCCCCTTCTTTTGGAGGCTGAAATCCAGTCTATCTTCCTCGGGCCATAGAGTCTGTTGCTGGTATTTCCATGCCTGCTTAGGTCACTGTGTTATAACACAAAGTAATTACTGTAATGCTTCCTGCACAGTAGTACACAGAATATAGCGTTTCAAACCGCCACCTTGTGAGTTCTCCCTTGATACATGTAAGTCTTCTCATAGCCAGGTCCTCATCCCACACCTCCATCCAAGTGCCCTTCAGCTCTACTGCTCTAGGGTTTAGGGCTGTCGCCCTAATCCTCATGTTCACCAGCCACACCTACAGCTTAAACTCTGTTCAAAAGCACATTGAAGGGAGTACCAAGCTTGCAGGCAAAGCCTCTCAAATAGTGGGCAACTCCCACCCTGGAGACAGCCTTGCTTCTGCCTCCTGCTCGGTCGCCTTTCTCTAGCTTCAGACACACACAGCCCAGTTTTTCACAGGAGCTGCTTTGGACACAGGGCTTCCAGCTCCAGCTCAGTGTGCCCCTCTAAACTCAGCCACTTCGGCCTGCTTCCTTGCTCCTCTTACTCCTCATCCCCACTCTTTCTTTCTTTCTTTCTTTCTTTCTTTCTTTCTTTCTTTCTTTCTTTCTTTCTTTCTTTCTCTCTCCTCTCTCTCTCTCTCTCTCTCTCTCTCTCTCTCTCTCTCTTTCTTTCTTTGTACTGGGGACTGAAGCCAGGACCTATACACTGAACTACATATCCAGCCCTTTACAATTTTTTACAATTTTGAGATAGGGAAATCTCACTAAATTGCCCAGGCTAGTTTCAAACTTGCAATCCTCCTGCTTCAGCCTCCTAGAGTGCTGGGATTTCAGGTATGCACCACACCTGGCACTCCCCACTTCAATAAATGGTACCTTTTCACTGCCCAAACTAGGCAGTGGAGAGTCATCTTCCACTTCTCTCTGTTCTCACAGAGAATATCCCTGTAATCCGGCTCTCCCAGCCCAGCGAAACTCCCCTCCAGTAATCCTGCCTCCATGGAAGCATCCATTTCCTTCCAGACTCACTGCTCACACTCTAGTGCATTTCAACCATGGATTCCTGCAGAAGCCCTTTGATCTGGGGCCTCCTTGTTCACAGTCAGGATGGCCTTCGGCAAGCTCCAACTCTGACTCTTAACAGTCTTTTCAGAACTTCCTATAGACTCAGGATAAGACCCAAATCCTAGTGAGGTGGAGAAGTTCTCTACGACATGGAAATCCAGTGGTCAGAGGTCCAAAGATGAGCTCCCAGCCCTGTGTAAATGGTTCTAGGAGTTCAGCCTGATTGAGATCAGGGTGCAATTGCAGCTGCCCACTGTGCTGAGGAAGGGGGACCTTGCAGGCAGCCAAGGCTCTTGAAAAGGTGCCCCCAGATTCCAGAACCACTAAGCACAGCAAAAGGTGAGTATATCACTATTACAACTCACAATAGGGGTTACAGCCCTCCCCACAGGCCAGGCCATAAAGGGTGCCGGTTACACGTTTACGTGGCCCATCTGCAAGCATCAGTGGCCTCTGGTTTTGGAGCCTTAAGATAAGAACTCTTCTTTCCACTTACTATCCTTGCTCCTGCTGGGTACTAACCCTGCACAGTTATAACTTCAAGATAGCTGAGCATTCACAAAAACAAAAGGAGAAAAGACAGAAGATAAGAGAGTCTGGAAGGAAAAATGAATCTACCTGATTTTAAAGGAGGCCCAGGAAGGGACACTGGCTCGGTTCTGTCTGTTTCCCCTACTTGAACTCACCCAGGCCGAGCTGCAAGCCGCTGCAGGCTGCATTTGGTCTTGGATTCTATCTCTAAACCTGTGACCCGGCTAAGGTGATGGTGACAGGATTGGTTCTAGAACTGGAAAGTCCTGTTGTCCAGTCTAGTGCCCTTTGTATTTGACCAAATGATCTTTTATTAATCAGTTCTATGATATCATGGAATGTGTGGCTTAGATGTCAAGTTTTAGCTACACTTTCATAGGAGAGCTTAGGAGGTAAGTGGAACTTGGGAATGTGCCAATACCATAGTTCTATTATGGAAAGAAGTGAAATGAATAGGGAAAAACACAAAATACTTGTTTTTTATATTGCACTAGTTATAGCTTTTATTTTTATTAAATCATGCCTCCTGTGTTGTTTTTAATTTATTTTATAGTTCTTTATCTAA